GCAAAGAATTTACAAGGCAATAAAAAAAAACAGAAAAACAGCTCAAAGTGGACCATCTATTCTCAAATTATACGCGGTTTGAAGTACGCAACTTCGGTATATATGTACATACAAATATTTATTTGTAAAGGGTGAACACACGAAAACTGCGACACTTAGAAATTACTACCAGAAACAAACTAGAAGGCTTTGAAATTATTTTTTTTTGTATTATATAACTTGGAAGTTTAGATGTTATTAAAATGTTAAAATATTAGTTATTATTTCTGTGTTCATATGGAAAAGTAGCTTATGTCGAAAGGCTGGCTTTAGTATAATGCGGCATTCCCTTTACTCTTTAAACGGCAAGGAATTTTTTGATGAGACTTAATAAGAATATTGACTTGCTAGTATCGGAACTACTTCTTGCACGTTTATTTGCCAAAAGTTCTACAACAGCTCAGCGCCAGTGAGTCATTCTCAATCGTATGCTGCGAATGCCGATTTATACTAAAGCCAGCCTTTCGACATAAGCTACTTTTCCATACGAACACAGATTTGCTCCATATGCAAGTGATCGGTATGTTGTCGGTCATGTTCTGCACGACTGCATCATCGACATTACGCGATATGCACAACTACTTTGTTTTGCACTCTTCAATAATTTTCACTCTTTCACCTGTTTTCTTCTTCATTTGACAATTGAACAATATTCCCCAACAGGACGTGGCTCTGGGCTATTGGGTGGATTGCAGTCGTGAGGTACAAAATTGATGTTATTTTCATTATACCACGGCAATGTGTCCTTGGCATAGTGGCAGGTTGCCATGTCCGCCTAGAACGATGTCCTACTCCTTATCTGTTGATAAATGACAGAAGACGCCTTTTGAGGCACTCCCGATAAACTTGATCATTCATTGTCCCGGATGGGAAAAAGGGCTGCTCTTACGGCCGCAAGAACAAATAGCTTGGCAAACCATGTGGTTTTTGGAAATTTTGACTTCATTTTCTTTTTTTTTTTGGGCTCTGAAGAGATGACAAGGGACCCAATAGTCCCTATCGTCAGGTTGTTCCTCCACGTATGATGTGCGTAATTAAGCGAGTAAAACTCCAGGTTGTTTTAATGTTGCTCCGCTGATACACGTTAGCAATACCCAAAGGGCCAGAACTTTGTGTACGAGCTTCTGCTTGTGTATATCCAGTTTGTTGACAAGGTTTGCTTTCTACAGCAAATTTTGCTTGTGGTTTATAATGTGTTTTGCAAAATATTTCTCGATACGTAGCTTTTACGTAAGTAGCAGGTACATATGTATTCAGTGACACTACTCAGTAGCTTTTAGACGTAGTTACTTTTGAACGACGACGGATTGTGAAGGCTTGAGATTGGTGGAATCGTTTATATGTATATGTGTTAAAAATTATTCGAAAATGTGTATATATATATAATAGAAACAAAATGGTTTAGCATATAAAATTTAATATGAGTGATTAAAAGGAAACTTTGGCTTTTTGGTAAAACTTTGCCAGTTGAGTGATCCCGGCTACATTATTGTTACGAAAGATCTCTTCAAATCGAATTGCCTGTTTAAAAACATCAAATTCGTTTCTTATGCTGGTGAGTCTTCTACAACAGGAGCACCGATCAGAGCTTAGAACATTTATTTTAGAGAGGTAGGCCTTGTCATATGTGTGTCCAGTCATGACTCTTGATGCGGTTTATCTCCATCTCCTTTTCCCAAAAGGCACATTTGAACTTGTCTTTTGCCACATGGCCATTTTTGTTACACAAAATACAAAAAGTAGAATCACATGCATTATCACACTCAGGTTTTCCAAATTTAAGGCACCTGCGCTTGGACTTACAGGAAAGCACCGTATGACCAAGTCGCCCGCACTTATTACATTGCCTAAGAGGCGGTATAAAGAAATCGACATTAAGTTTAACGTATTCAAATATCACTTGCTTGGGTATTTCATTCCCTGTAAAGCCTACTTTCAGAGTTGTTGTTGGGATATAATCATTATTTGTGGGATCTTTACGCGTAAAACGCCTAACAGATCTTATTGGAATGCTTGATTTGGCTTCTTTTAAAAAGTCTTCCTCTTTAAAGAAAGTTGGTACACCCCTAATGACACCATATATTTCAAGGGCAGTCATGGGTACAAAAGGTCTAAGGCCTCTTTTAGAAAGGCTGTCGTCTAGAACAAAATTGTTGGCTGAACAGGTATTTTTAAAGATTACTTTATATAAAGTCCTACCCAAAGCAAGAATAAGGTCTAGGTCTTTTATTCTTAAGTCTTTTATTTGGGCATACAGTGTAAGTCCTGTAGTCGTTTTCTCATTTTTTATGTTCGGGCATTCCGATGCATCAACGAGTACAAAAATCTCGCCCTTAAAAATTGGCGGGTAAACGTTAATTATTGGCGCGTTTTTGCTCACACTATTTTCGCTGGTTGCAACTGTCTCAGACGGGGCATTTGAACCACATGTATTATCGTTTCTAACCTCACATTCCATATTAACAGGCTCACTAGCACTGTACAATTTTTGATCTTTTTTCCTAATTTCTATGAGCCCACCGCCAGTGGCCAGCTCATAGAAAGAAGAAACTTTCTCATTGGAAACGATTTTAGCTTTTTTATTTGCCCTATCCTCTTCAGATTCACTCTTCCTGGCCGTTGCCGACCCATTGGCCGGCAACCCCATTCTTGATTTTAATTTTGCGCTTGCCAATAAAGGCAGCTTTTTCCTTTTTTTAACCGGCACCTCGACAAGAAAATCTTTTCTTTTCACTCACAAAACAGAAAAGAACAAATGTAGCCGTAATCTACTCACCTGGTCTGGAAGCTGCTGAACCCAAAATTATTAGTTTGATTTTTATCTAGCGCACGACGAGAAATGTAGTTTAAAAAGAGAATTTATTTGAACACAATATTAAGCACACGAAACACGCGGCCCACACAAAAAGCCTGTATTAAAAGGTTTTGCAAAAACTAGTTTTTTCCAAAAACGTGCCAAAATCCGAATGTGACTTCATTTTCAGCTTACAATTTTCAGGGGCATCTTGACGACTTGCAGCAGTATAAAAATCTTGACCTGCAATATATTTTGAATTTTTATAGCAGTAGGTTTCGCAGTCCATAACAATGCAGTTGTATTTTTTAATTTAGAATTCATACAACTTCCGAATGCGGGATTTCGCTGTAACATTCTATTTTCCGCCTCGGCCTGGCGCTGTTTGAGCTGTAGAACATCTCAATGAAGCTTTCCACTTTACCTTTTGTACGAAAAACTGCGATCTCCGTACGGATTTTGCAACATAACGCGACAAAATCTTCGGATCTCGCGAAAACGCACTGAGGACCTTCCGAGCACCGTTTTTATCACTTTGACCATGCTAACCCCCGCTCCCTGGTTTTCTCGTAACTGTCAGGCCTTATTTGTACCGATTAAAACCCTGCAAACTGTCGAATTGTGCACTCTTTAATTTTTTAGCAATGTTACGTGTACTTAAGGCCGGATCATTTATAAACTCGTGCAAAATGGTTTGTCTCGTTTCTAGCTCGGTTGCCATTTTTAACTCAACTAGGAATCAAATTCAAATGAAATTTCTTCTACGTTCAACTAAGGTCCATAGTCAACTTATGGTATTTGAATTTCAAACTAATTGTGGTATTTGAATTTCAAAATATTGAATTCGTTTTGGGTAAGTTATAAGCTTCCCAAAGTGTCACAGTTTTGGTGTGTTCACCCTTTAATAACAATCAGAGGCTATATTCGATGCAAATAAGTTGGTTTCAATTAAATAATTAAAGCAAATGCTACACTTTTT